ACGGGGCTGACCAGCCAACACAGTGGCTTCCTTCCTACCTGGGAGCGCAGTGGCTTTAAGCCCGGTGCCAGTGCGAGGAGGGCGGGAGCCGGCTTTCAGGGGTCCCGGCGGCAGGGGGAGCAGGCCTGACGGCTGCGGCCAGGGGCTGGGCAGGTGGCTTTGTTACTTACACTTTCCTGCGCCGGGATCGGGGAGGCGTACGTCGCGGAAGTCATCACGCCTAAAAACCCACCCCCTGCCTCCGCCCACAGTTGGTCACTGAAACATTTACCATCATGTTTCACGACCCTGTGAAAATGTGACATTGACGGTGTGATACTGAACAAAGGGAAAATGATGCCTTCGGGGTTTCATCCGTGATGACAGAAATTAGTGACTCTGATGGGAACTCTTGAGGCTTCAAATACATACCTCTTGGCCCCTCTTTAGAATCACTGTCACTTATAAAAAGTCTTTTTCTCCTCACAGTTTTTACTCATAAATAAAAAAGAAAACCACAGGAATGAGGACAGATTTTAAAACGATTTTCTTAGCTGCGGGAGGTAAAAACTGGTTATTCAAAAGAGGAAACGTTTAGACTTAAAACCTAACCCAATACCAATTCTAATAACAGAATAATGAAAATTACCATACTTTTTGGAACTATATGCTCTTAAAATAAAACTAAATTCCAGAGATTAAACAAAATCAAGGTAGTTCTTATTTTAAAAAATTTAAAATAAGTAAACATATTTGAGTAATATTTTGAGATGGCATTGAGTGTATTTATAAAAGTTGAGCTATACCATTTACGATGATACTCTTACTTTTTAAAACACGTGAATGTATAAGTGAAGCTTAAACATTACCACTTTATTTTTCAAAAGCGTGTTTCTTAGGAAAGACAAGGAACAAAGTTTGGTACAGAAGAATAAACTCGTGGCAATAATGTTTTGAATATTAAACTAAAAAAATTTCCCCAGATCTTCTAAAAGGGGTTGGAAGCAAATACCTGTTAGATTAATAGATTTAAATATTTCATTTCCTTTCTGCATTACTGCCAATGTAAACAATATCTCAAAAGAGGTTTAACAGTAAGAATAAGAAAAACGTAATACCACTTATATATTTTCTACATCAAAGTGTTCATTAACACCAACAGGACTGGTTTATCAAGATGCTAATTTTATCTATAACTACAAGCTTACCAACACACTTATAGTTAATGATTCTACCCACTAAAAAGCAATTGATTTTACTAAACCTTCAAAATACTCAATAACTAGAAGGCAGACTTTGCAGATAGCCTAAAATTAATTTGAAAATTAACTGGCAATGATTCACATAGAACATGGAGGCAAAGCAACTGATTGACAGCACATCAACTGTGCTTATCTTCTGAGCCATTATCATGGTTATAACACAATCATTAGTAATATACTTAAATCATGGAAGTTAAATTCTCTGTGTTTTGAAAAACTGGATAGCATTCAATGTAAGCAATGACTTGAATTCATAATTCAGGAAAAGCTGATAAGTATGATACACACCAATAGCAGAGATATCATAATTCGTTAATCGGGTAAATGGTTGTAGAAGGAATGATAAAAAGGAGAAAAATAGCAAAAAACAATAAATAGCTAATATTTATTGGACAGCACCTTCTGATATTTGGAGAAAGATCTTGGAAACAAATCTTAATAGTATAAGCCATTCACTCAATATTTCTAAGCTGCAATCTACTGTGAAAACATGAGGGATGTCTTTACATAAATGTGAATTTTTTTCCTATTGTTTTGGTTACCTAATTCTCTTTTCTAAGTAGACACACTTCCAGGAGTTATTCTGAGGAGCAGGCAATAGAAACATCTACTATATCCAATGTAATTTTTACCTACTGCTTTACCGTTTGGGGAAAAAAAGGAAAACGGAATGAGTTATCAGAGGTATCATCCATGATACATAACACTGCCATGTAAAAAGTCCATAATGTTTCCTGAATCTGTTAGGATTTCCCTCCTGAATGATCGACAAAATGTATTGTTAGAGCAGTGCAGTCAAACAGAAAAGTTTTTTCCTCTCCCAGGATCAGATCTGATTTTTTAGGTGAAGTCCTCAAGTTACGCAGTATGGTTTTCTGATAAATAATAAAAACCACTAAAACGACTCATCTTGACTATTTATCAATGGGCCTTTTCTACTCCAAAATAATTACAGATTTGAACAGATACAAAAAGCAAAACATTCCCATAAGAAACCTGGTTTTAAAGTAAAAGATACCAAGATTTGATATGGATTTGATCTAGATTAAAAAAAAAAAAGCTTCCATCTAACATTTTGTTTTGCATTAGTAAATATAAAACTCTAAGAAAATTAAAACTCTAAGAAAAAAACCCCCATTATCATCATCCTTTAAGCTAGAAGTATTTTGGAAACAAAGTGGCAAGTAATCCAATTTTTCTGTATTCAGGAACACTTTATAACCTCAAACTTTCAACGATGTAATTATTTCTGTTAATTGAACTTATGATAAAAACAGTATTATGGAAATACTAGATCATTTGGGAAACAGCAAATATAATATTTTATCATCCTAAAGCAAATAAATTACTCAAGGTTATGACAAGTAAGTGCAATCTTACTAATTACAAACAATATAACTTGGTACTCAATGAAAATTTCCCATTATTTTCCATATATTGATCTGAAGATCTACTCTGGAGACTTTACAAATGTTTTCAGAAAACAGAAAGTTCGGCTACATGTTATTTAAAATCTCTGTTCTAAACTCGGAAGGAATACTGTAAAATTCAATGCTTCTATTAATGAAAACACTGTGGACCTTTCCATTAACCACTTACATTCAAGCATTAACAACAGTATTCGTAACCAATCTTTCTTATACTATGCTTACTTGAATAGCACCATTTATAAAGAATGGGACTTTCCAGCACACTGGACATAAAAGTCCAGTAAACCTTAAACTGTAATACCTCACTTATCTGACATTTAACAGTCACTTAAAGAATTTTAAATTTATAAAAGTATTACATATTGCTTGTCTAAAAAACACAGGCTATAACAAAATTGTACGTCACTGTTAGATTCAAGGCCACTGTTAGGAATGGTAACGACCTGTGTCCCTTCTGCAATGTGCCGCTGTTTCCCAGGGCCACTGGGCCCCTCACTGTACCGCCATGATGCTTCTATGGATCTGCTGAGTAGCTGGTAATTCTTCACTCAGCTCCCTCCAAGACATCAGCACTTTTCAGAGAGGTTTTTTTTTTTTTTAATTTGCCAGATACATAACCGAGGAAAAACTCCAGAAATCCTGGGAAGCAGATTACCAAGCCTATCACATCTGCATTTAAAAAATCATACAGAAACAGTCAGTGGGCTCTAGTCAGTGAGGCTTATTCACATCCTGTAAGATGAAGACAGAGACTGAACAGGAGGAACCTTGTAACGGCTATTTCCCTCAGAAGTTTCTCCCTATTCCAAGACTCACAGAAGTGTTCTGGGTCAGGGCCCCTAGAAATCTGCAAGGCAAGTGAGATACAATCTATATTTAACCAGCGAAATAAAATCTCTCTGAACTGTAACCATGTTAAAGAAAAACCAGTTAAAAATTTAGTCAAGTCACAGGCTGATGATTTGAACCTAATATCGTTAGGCACACAATATTGTGGTCTTCCTTTCTAGAGGTTATACGATATACTTAACACATATTCAAAGATTAATCTGATAAATCCAAGCACCCAATGGTTTTAACCCTATAAATGTCAGGATAATAAAAAAAATTGGTTGAACCAGCAATCTCTTCGAAGACTTCACTGACCAATGGAGTACTAGTTGAAGTCATACTGGCCGCCTCACTGGTATCCGAACTGCTTATTCACTATTAAGCAGTAGTTTGGAAACATGTGCTCTAGGAGGGTTAATCGAGCCACCCTACTATTTCCCGCGTTCTCCATAAACCAGAGAATTCCATGATCTAGCTCTTTCCAAGTCCAAGAATTCTCAAGAATTTTGGATTTAAGGTGCTGACCAATACCAACGATTATGAAGCCGACGACAGGTTTCAAAACTTCCACCTACGACAGGCATTCCTTTTTAATGTTACTATTTTACATCGCATATGAAAAACAGAGCAAACATCAGCCAGCCCACTGCTTTTCAACTACGGAGTGTGTGTGTTGTGCATAATGACATTGGGGTGGATGCTGATGTAGGGAAATTGAGACCTTTCTACAAATACATCCCCCACTCTGGGCATGTCAGAATCGTGCTGGATAGAGGTAGTGGCCTAGCCCATTTAATCCTGACAAACCCTGACCTAGCCTTAGTACAGGATGATGCTGACAGTTGGTTACCAATACATATATAAAGAATGTCACGATATTTCTAAAAATCTTGGAGCTACCTTAGAATATAAACAATTAGCTATCAACATTAAGGCTTCAAATCTATAAATGTATTTAGGGACATTCCTTTGAACTACATTAAAAAAATCTATCAAAGATTTCTGCTGAACGGATTTACGTCAAACTATAGCCAATAAGATCTATAACTTGCCCCAAATTCGTTTGACTTTTGCATAATATGAATCGTCAAGCTTTTTTCTACATAATTAAAATCTCTAGGAAATCTCCACGTATCTGCTCATATCAGATTCTTACTGAGAAACTCATTTACTCTGCAGGGGACTGATTTGGACAGCAAACTTTAGAATCACTTTCTTTCCTACTAAACATGAAAAAGATACCTTATAATTTGAGTCTTTTGGTTGCCGAAATGTAGACGAACATTCCTAAAGCTTTACGGCCCAAGCCAAAGAAAGAAAAGGAAAAGAAAGAAAAGGAAAATACGGAAAGGCAAGAGCGAGAGCAGCAGCACAAAGCATGCAGCGGAGGTAAGAGCACATCACGGGGACGTGAGCGTGTTCTGCAACCACAGGCAAAAAGGGTGAGAGACAGGGAGGAGGGCGTGGGGTGGGGACACACGGTGCAGTGGTTTCTTACACGTCTGCCTTTGCTAGCTGGAGTGCAGGACGGAGAGCGCTTCAACAAAGAAAGGAGAATACTACACGTTACAAATACACACGACTCTCGATGGCTCCCGCCGTATTAACAGACAAAGTCTACCAACATACACAGAGAGACACATTTTCTGATAGGTTCAAAGTACATTTGTTTTCAGGAAAAACTGGAGGATAGGACAGCGGAGAAACGGCTGCTCGGACTCGGGCTAAGGTGACAATAACGCTTTCGCTGGACCCCGCGCAGTGACCCACGCAATGGTGCTCCAGTGAGCGAGGGACAATCTCCTTCCTGTGGAGGTTTGGAAGTAGCAACTGGAAACAGGAGAACGAAAAGGAGCCAAATAATTCTGACTGAGCGCCAGTTAGCACTTAATAAAATATTTCACGGGCCGGTCTTTTCCCTACCAAACTCTTACTGTTTTCAAAGATGATTCTTTCCAGTGGTAAGAGCTAAATTAGGCCTTTGGAATCACTGACCGTGAATGAAAACAAAAACAGTTACTTCAACGATACCACCCGCCTTGACTGGATATTAGGCTTAAGTCAAAAGGGACTGTCACCTTTCTGACATTGAAGATTCAGTAATTAGGGAAAAACAGCAAGAACAATAAGCAGGTAGTAACCGCATCAAAACAGTCCCAAGCCTCTGGAACTTTGGGATGTGCAAAGAGCAGAGCTTCACACACATAAACCATCTCTACCTCTGGCAACTCCCTATATTCAACTGAACGTAACATTTCCTGAGGTTTTGCAACGGGTCAGGTATTTACAAGGTGGGGAAGACCCCAGGCCGCCAACAGTGGGCCTCACGTGGTAGCTGAGGTTTGCTGCACAGTTTTGTGGGAGGCCGGAGGCGGGACGTACAGGATTTGCATGGGGGCCTAGAGGAGGGAGTTTACAAACGGAGTCTACAGGAGCCACAGAAGATTCCAGAGAAAACTTGGAAGGGTAAGAAGATCATTCCGGATTACCGGTATTATCTGTACAACTCTGGCAGATCGCTAAACAGGAACTATTATTTCTTTCTAGGAAATGGGAAGGGGGCGGACTTGAACACCGTGTCCTGAAGAGTTAATGGTGAACTGGGATTAGAAGGCCTGCAGATTCCTAAGCAATTTGTGTTTCTTCGTCCAGTGTGTAACTAGCACACCTTCCTCTTGGACTCCGTGGACCATACTCATCTATCCGTGGGGACCCCACTCAGGCACTGGTTCCTTCAGAAAGCCTTTCTGCAGCCGCCTGGCTCAGTCAGGTATCTCTCCTTTATACTCCTATGATATACAATCCATATCTTTTATTAGTTTGATTTTCCCAATCGTGTTATAATTATTGATTTACACATGTGGTTTTTCCATCAGACTCGGATTCTTCAGGGCAAGAAACATTGTAACATGCTTATCGTAATAAAACCTATCAATTTAAAAATCCTTAGTAAGTACTGAATGAATCCTTCTGAAATGCTGCAATACTTAACTGAAATATTTCTTACGGCACCTGTCACTTTCGACATGGCGCAGCACGTAACCATGGATTTATTTTTTCTAACAAGATGATAAGCATTTCGCGGCCTACGTCTCCATCTGCTACGTCTTAGGAGCTACCACCGTGCAAGGATTAACACAGAGAATCCTTGACTTTCTGGCTATCTTTCTACACTTCTAGAGCAGAGTTGGGAGTGTGCTGAATCCGTGAAAAAATGCATGACTAGTTCAAAGTACACACATTGCCACCATACTAAAAACAATTCAAAACGTCTCTCAAAACCATCTCTGCGTATGAAGGACAACACCTGGTCTCAGCTGGCACTGTATAAAGCTAATAATGATACTAAATCATAGTGATAATGTTCTTCCCAAAGTGTCTACCTAGAAACCAGACAGCTGTTTTTCTGTTTTCAACAAGAAGGGGAAATTAGGCCGCTTCCTGATGATACAATTACAGGAACACACACTACGCTCTCTCTTCTACACACTGACACACAACCACGGTTTTGTACAAACAGTGGAACTGGTCTCACAGCCCGGGAGAAGCCAGTATGTTGCCCTCATCTCTAATCATATACACTTTAAAACTATGCCTTTTCTACCTAGGTCTCTCGGTCGCCACCGTAATGCTCAGGCTGATCGTAGGAGGCGGCACACAAGCAGAAACCAAAAAAAGTACTTTATCTTATAGACACGGATTTGGCAAATAGCTTTTAAGATTCAGTTAATGAATTCCAAAGGTCTTCTTAAACAGGAGAGTGAAGAGTGAAAGTCTGGGTGGTCATGGGTGTTTCCCTCTAGACTGCCTCAATGTATGAGAATATAATACAGATCTTGTATATATAATTAAGATAGAATCCTGCCTAAATGAGAGAAGGGCTGCATATGACAATCTCCTGAAACGTGAGTTTCAAGTTGGGTTGTATTTAACATGTGGATGGAAGTTTTGTAAAAAAAAAAAAAAAAAAAAAGAATTGAAGGAGGAAATATCAGAAATGCCATAATTTCTCAGCAGGATCTACACCTAGGGTGGGTCGTAGGATGAAAAGATCTTTATAATGTATGTTTTGAAATTCTGTCTTCCACGGATTCTCATGGATGATCGAATTGCCCCAGATCCAGCTGACACAATGCTGCAAAGCCTCAGATTTCTGTGACTGGTGATGACAGAACATAAAAGAAGCCAGGGGAGAGACAAGAGATCTCTACAGGGAAGAGATGAATGAAGGAAGCTAGGAGCCGGGCTGAAATTAAATAGTTCAGGACATCGTAGCAAGATTTTAGTATGAGGCCAAAACGAGGAGTAGGAGAACGAGCTTGTCAATACTCTCCGACTGCTGGCTTCTCGGAATTGGCCAGGATACAAGAAAACAGGGTTTGTGAGGATCAGACAGTCGGACCAATGGTACTAACTCTATTCCTTTATGTCTGACCTTTAACTCCTTGGTCTACTCTTTCCTCGGCACACTAGAGTTAAGACAGCATCCCAAAAGCAAGTTGGCAAATTCTCATTTGCCAGGTAAATGGGCAATTCCCATTTTTGTGTGTGAACTTGGCCCAAATGAACAGAGTGTAGAATCGTAATTTAATAAAACTCAAAACCTACCTGGCACAGATTTAATAAATGACAATCTGTTTACCAAATACAACAACAAGTGGTTCATTTAGATGACCATAATTAGCATTACCTTTAATACAGTCAAGCCAAGTATTATCTTTGGTTCCTTTGAAAAGAAGAAAACGAACTGACCAGGATGGGAAGTTTGTAAGTGTGGTCTGGTCATCCCTGGACTTCTTGCCCCTGGGATGCAGGGAACAGATGAGGGAAAGGCCAAACTGCCAAGCTCCACCTGTCCCTCACCCTGTTCGGGACCTGGAGGCTGGGCCAATATGGAGTCACCCCAGGCAGTCTAGGACTGGGGTGTGGGGTTGGGAGAGAAGATGAGGCTACCCTGCGGTCACTGGTGTCTCACCACACGTGGGAATGCCTGACCCGAGAGACAAAGTGGTCAGAGTGACGTCAGTTTCTTTTAACATGAATTAACCCCCCTTCTATCTGCCCTCAATAGTGTCGTACCCCGTTGCCACTAATTCCCTATTCCCCCAAAGACTGAGAGTCCAGAAACTTCCCTAATGGGACAGCAGACCGCCCACTTTACTAATGGGAGAAGGCGGTGATAAATGGTGGCCAGAAGCATGGACTGAATATATCCCAAGTTCTTTTCTCTTTCAGAAGAAGTTCATGATTATGCCTGAGTTCTGCTCTGAGTCACAGAAGTGCTTAAGTTCTTTTCTCTTTCAGAAGAAGTTCATGATTATGCACGTAGGAAAGCCCAACCACCTGAGTTCTCCTGAGTCACAGAAGCAGGTGCTTCGCCCGAATCAGAGGGAAGGAAGGAACCTCCATACACTGCTCCACCGTCAAGGCCGTGCTTACTGGAAACTCTATGCGTAGCAAGACCTGTGTAAACGGTGCAACTTAAAAGGAAACTGCTCTGAGTGTGCCCAGATTCTAGCATTCGCTTGAATTTTGAACTTAAGGAAGTCAAAGGTGATTCTGGAGGCGGGGAGGGGCCGGTGGTTTGGTTCTAAAAAACCAGAGGGCAGAACGAGGTCGCTAGGCCTCGGCGAGCAGACGAGGAGGTCGATGGCGTGCGGAGGCCAAAGAAAACTTGCTTTCTGCAATCCTGCTCCACCTCAGCTTTATCCCTTCCTAAACCCACGAGTTCCTGCCTGCGATTCAAATTCCGGGTCCGTGGCGTGCCCGGCTTCCCCTTCTGCAGCAGTGAGGCCGACGCCAGAGAAGGATGTGAGGGTGAGTCGCGCGGGGTGGCTGAGGGTTAGAGTCTGCTCGCTGTCGGGGGCGGCCCCGCACAACACTCCAAGGAGCATGGGCACAAAGATCACAATTCACTCTGTTCCTTAAGATCCCAAACGCCGAAGAGAACTGAAGCTTCGCGCCTCGCGTCTCGGCTGCTGAGCGCAAGCGTGCCGAGGACCGGACGCTGGTTTTCAAAAACCTCATCCTCCCACGGCCTCGAGGGTGAACGGAATGAGGACTCTGGGAAGAGCGGTCGTACTCATCAACCAGAAAGAGCCTCCGGCCATAGAATATGAAGTAAGACGACGAACTATGTTTGAAAGTGGGAGCTGACGGCTGGCCTTGTCCCTGACATGTAAAAATCAACGCGCAGCGGTGACCTGACTTGACGACTCAGGGGGAAGGTGCGGTGACCCGCGTGGGTGGGGGTGGAAAGGTGGTTAGAGGGCTAAAGGCGACATTCAGGCGACAACGGACTCCTGGACAAGAAAGGAAGCTAAAGGAACTTGGGAAGGGGGTGAACGGCCTATGACGAGTAGGGCAAGAGCAGGGCAAGGGCCTCACGTTCGCTGTTCCCTTAAGTCCTCCAACCACCTACGAGTCGGTACCGCTGTTATCACCCTTGTTCTTCTGACCAGCAGACTGGGGCGCAGAGAGGTTGGGTAACTTGCTCCCAGCCACACACCTGGAAGGTGGTGGAGGCAGGATCTGGGTCACCTTATGTGCTTACCCAGTAAGTGGGAAGGGGAACCTCGGGAGCAGAGACCATGCTTTTTAAGAGCTGGCGCCTGGATCAGAAAGATTCAGCCTGTGTGAACTCAACTCCTTTTCGCTGTGTAACAGGGGTTCCTTTGTGCCGGGTTAAGACGCGGTGGTCCGTGTGAACTGAGCTCAGGCTGAGCGCCGGTGGGTGAGGACAAGAGAGTTCTGGAGGAACGTCAAAGCGGGACGCTTCCTCACTACGGCCGGGTGGCAGCGGACAGAGCGGGGCCACGCGGGTGTCCCTGTAGCAGGCCCGTCGGCCACAGGACACCCGGGCTCCCGTGTTCTACATTCAGAGCTTTGTGTGGGAGGGGAAGGGGCGGGGAGAAGGGTTTGTTAGAAAAAGAGAAAGGAAATGGTTTTCTAGCGGAAGGAACCATTAAAAGAATGTATTCAAACTTCCTTGTCTTTCTCTTTCAAGTGAATGATGTTTCTATGGAAATAACATCTTGAGTATTTTAGTACAAACATCCAGTAGATGGTAACATGAAATACTGTTGTACATCAAGAGAGTTCTCTTTTTATCACAGCGTAGAGTGAACTAGGACCGTCTCAAGAATGATGAAATAGTTTCCATTCAGAATGGAAAATAGTACACTTTGGTATGGTATTTCAAAGGCAGAAAAAAAAATCAGTTAAAAAAAATGTTTAAGCCTAGATCAAGAGTTTTCTTGAGTGGAAAATTATGCAAAGTACTCTTCTGAATGTGAGAATTATGTTTAACAGAACACAAAAAATAAAACATAAAAATTGCCCCAGGTTTAAAAACTGGGCTCTGCGCAGAACATCTGCATCTGAACCCATTCTATTTTCCAGTTTCTAGAAAGGTTAAATGTTCAACAGGACAACAAAATGCCTTATGACAGGGATTTTTGTGCCATTTAATGTGGAACAGAGAGAACGCGGACAGGTGGCATTTCAGTAACGAGAGTGAAGACATCAGGGACTTCTAAATGATCAAATCTACAGAATTAATTTAGGAGAGAAAATGATAATGCAGTCAATTTATAGTGCATGTAGCACATATGTTAACTAAAATCACTTTCCACATTAGAAGAGAAATTCTGTCAGCACTAAAAATTGATTTGTACTCAATTATTATGTTACAATAAAATCTATTGAAAGATTTAATACGTCACTTTTTCTGATTTTATTACCAGACGTTTACTTCTAACTAACATAAAAATTAAATAGCAAAATGCTGCAAAGGGGAACGTGAAACAGAAATTGCCATGAAAAAGAAAAATGAGCCCTTTTATATATTTATCCACATAGTGACAATAATCAAATAAGCATTCCAGTCTTCAGAACTGTTGCAAAGAAAGGGAATCCAGATTCCTGACGGCCAAAGCATTTTTCAAAGTACATATTCACTTCCTGATGTTTAATAAAAATAAACCCTTTGTTTCATTTCAGACAAGAAGCAAATTTTGTCTCACAAGTAAATTACCAGGTGTGATCATTCTAAAACTGAATGCATTACTAGGCAAAACTCTTCAATTCAATTCACTGATGGTTTGAAAATCAAAGACTTACGTCATCCAAAAAATCAATCAGTGAAGATGAGGAAGAAGAAAAGGAATCCTATTTAACGAATACAGCAATAAAAAAAATAGAAAATATGGATGAAGCAATTTAATAAGAACAAATAAGAAATCAAAAATCTTGTAAAACAATTAAAAGGCAAATGACATTAATTCAAACAAACAAATGAGAAAAGCAGTCATTGTCACTTGCTCACGAAACTTAGAACTCCAGTAATTACTTTTAAAAGCTGATCCCTATCCCAAAGCAATGAAATACAATGCATATATTGTACCCAAAACGTAATACGGTGAAGTGCATGGCAGATCATTAATAATCAAATTAAATGAAACACTTGAGGAGTAACGGGATCTCTCTGCCTCTAATTGTTCCCACTGGAACGTAACCTCTAGGAGAGCAGGGCGCAGTCTATTTGGCCACTACTTTAACTCCGGCACCTTTAACAGTGCTCTGCACAGAGATACAAGATTATTTGTTTACTAGAGGTATAATCACTAACGTGAATTTTCTGGGACGAAAATATACTTTATGAATTTGGTTTTTTTCCCCCTGGCAAAGAATTTAAGCAGCAGAAACTGACAGGCATACAGTCACTATTTCATTATTATGGAATCTTCCTAACACTCTCTAGGTAATACTTGTAACAAAAAGTATGCCTATTGTAAACTCCTAAAAAAACTTGAATTGACTTGGAGCTAGAACCAGCACTGCTCTATCCTGAGATTGACCTTTTTCACCGTTTTGTTTTGTTTTGTTTTTTTAATTGTGGCTCTATGCTTGGGAGAAAAAACAAAAGTGTCAACATTACTTCAAAAGTTAGGATTTGTTCTGCATTTCCTGTCTCCCAGGGGAAGGGATGAAATTTCTTTTAAATCTTGGGATGCTCATATTTAGACCTTTCTTAGATTTTTCTTACATATACATGTGATCACCATTTCCATAAGAATACAGAACATATTCCTTTCTTAATAGGCTCTTGTTTATAGAAGATTCTAGGCCCTTTTATGTGGGAAGTGATAAAACCGTTTCACCGCCAACAAATTTTAAATCACAACCTGAATTTGAAACTGACCACAAAGAATACTTGCACAGTTCAGTACTTACTTCAAGTTGATCCAGACCATCGGTAGGCGTATTCAAAAATGCCAAGAAAGAATGCTGTGAGTCTCGGTGCTCTATACCTAGAAGACAGCAGCAACTGTTTTTTAAAACTAGAACAATTTAAACTCATTATCACGGATAACCTTTCCTGTCTGAATCTATTAAGAGCTGTTCACAAACGACCTCATTTTAAGGCTGATCAGTCCTATTAACTCTACATTAAAAAAAAAAAAAACCGTATTAATGTTTCTTGAAATATCACTTAACAGTCGATTATTATCAGTCTCCACGACATGCTTGTTTCCTGACTTACTTGAGTTCTCGAATTTCTTTCTTTTCCCTTAGAGTACATTATAAAAACACATTAAATCGTGGTAGGGTTGAGAGACTCTTTAAAATATGGTTCTGTTTTTTTCTAAGCTAATTTATCACCAAACAAGGTTTCTGTTTTGAAACACTCGTACTGCACACAGAGTATACACTAATATACATGACCTCTTACAAGAAAGTAAAGTAGTGATACAACAAATGTATTTAGTTATGAAAAATCGGTTGTCAAGGCCTCAATCTGATTTCAGGTATTGTTTTATTGACGAAATGAGGCACTCAAACCCTCGGTTTTCTCAGATGAAGTTTTAAAAGTTTCTGCATATTTCTTCACTGTGACATTAACTTTAAATGCGTAATTTCCAGAATAATTCTTAAAATATACAGGCAATGAAAAATGCTAGCAATCAAGCACACCGTTTTGATTTCCATATCCTTAGGAAGTTACATCCACTAATTTGTGTGGTTTTCACAATAATCTCGCCAGATGATGTACTACGTTCAGAAATTCATCCAATTGATACGTATTTACTGAGAGCCCATTAGGTGCCAAACCTTGTCCAGATACTGGCATATACTAGTAAACACACAGAAAAAACAATCTCGCCCTCGTTATGTAAACATCACATTACATTATTTAAGCAGTAGAGTACGTTATGTTACAACATAAAGTGAAAGTTGATTATTCTGCAATGTTCAAAATCCAAGTACAAGGGGCAGGTTAACGTGTCTTCATAAAGCAGAGCGGTAGACTTGAGTTACTTCTTTCGCAAGTTTAGATCCATGCTAACAATGACGCCACCACTGACACCAGAGTCATACTCTGCACTGGTGTCTTTTCTGTACAGACTGCCTTCAGGGCTACAGGTCCTACATGTCTTATATATTCTTGGTCTTCTGCTCACTAAATAGTGCAGCTCCTTTCCACCATTCATGTCTGAAAACTCAGCTTGAGTCTCATTTTGGTGAGAAGCCCTGTGCTCAATCTGAATTCCTAATCTGCCTTTTCTGGGTTCCTTCCTTTCTTGTTCACTAGGAAATGCCATCAATAAAAAATGTATTGAACATCTGCTATTTTTAGGGTTTTTTTTCATGTTAAATCCTTCACGTGTATGATACCCTCTCCTCCACAATTTTAAAAGCAGATACAGAGACCCAACAATCAGCGTGTGTCACACGACCGAGAAGTTAGAGGGAAGCACGACATAAAGCCGTTAGTTCATCCACTATTCGGTCAGGAATACGGGCTTTGTCAGGATGGTGGATTTCTAATAACTGGATGTAAGAGGATCCCTTCACTGGGAAAATAACATTCTGAATTTCTTTGTATTACATCTTCACATTCTGAATGCCCACATTTTGGAAAGAAAGTGGAGGAAGTTCCTGTAATGGAACTCCCAAGCTCTCGGGAATTCCTGTTCATGTTAAGACTCATTAATGTTCAGGCAATGCCTTCAGGAAAATGGGAATGGATCCTGAGAAATCCCACAGGGCAGGCAACTGAAGAACCAGACCTGGAAGAAAGCAATGGAGTCCCCCAACAGTTCATCCCTGAACTGCCTTTTAATACCGGATTAATCTTTGGTTACTTCATACACTGTTCCTCAACTACCCCAGGAGTGAAGCCCCCTACAACATCTGAAAATAGCGTAAGGTATATTATACAAATAATAGTTTTTTTCCGATCACAAAAATATTATTTGTGTAACAGTCTGCAGCTATGGAAAAATGGTCCAAATTACGGCAAAGTGAGTTTTTCTGTTACTACGAAATTCTTTAAACAATGTATATTGAGCACAACAAAATGACTCAGAGACCAGGCTAGTGTACGTGTGTGTGTGTGAGGCGTGTGACATGAGCATACACATATCCATCAGTGAGCGCCAGTGCTGCTGCGTGAATAACTCCCCGACCCGTGCAAGATGCTGATGCTCGTGCGACAGAACGGATTCAGAACAGAAGCAGCCCTGATTGATGCAAAACACATTCTCATACCCTTTTCAGATCTAAGCTCTTCAGTGTCCTTTATTAGCTGCTCGATTTCTGATAGTAGCTCCAAGTTCTTCTTCTCGGAGTCTTTCAGTTTACTTCAATAAGGGAAAAAAAGGAAAAACGTCATTATTTTTATCGCCAGTTAGGGAGCCATCCTACAGTAAGTACGTGGTTGGAGTTTCTTGGTTTCCGTGTCAGTCATGTCAAATCAGGGAAGTGCGAACCACTGCAGGGCAGACGAATCGGCCCTGTCACCTACTCTTGTGCAAATAAAGTGTTACAGGAGCACGGCCGGGCCCGTCCGTTCACGGACGGTCCATGGCCTCTCTCGCTCTATGACAGCGGGGCTGAGCGGGCAGGGACCCCGTGTCCCACCAAGCCTGAGACACCTTGGATCTGGCCTTTTAGAGAAGATGCTGACCTGGAGCTAAATGATTCAATTTTAAAATGTCCTCAAACTACAGGTCAAATTTAGAATTTGGTGAGGCTCTTTTACACAGAGCCACGGAAATGGAGCATTTTCACAAGCGTATCTACAGTTTTTGGCTTTGCTCATGGTCCCGCGTCCCAGGCGGGAGAAGGCGGCGCGCGCTCGGTCCAGGTAGAACCTGGGGAACTGCACCCAACGGCGCTTTGGGCTCGAGATGACTCGCCGGCTCCGTAAAGCGTTCTCTCCCATTTTTGGTGTCACACGAGCACATTTAGGCAACGCGTACTTAATTTATGTCTGGATTATTCATAACAAGAGTTTATAATTCAGCTGGGGTGCTGGTTGCCTGACCTCCGATTCGATTCGGAATATGAGTGATTACAGTCGAAGCACTAAAAGGCTTCACACCGTTAGATACTGAATTTATGGGACCGTATTTCTTTTCACGATCGAATGCCTTTGGGACTTTGCTTTCCAGCACCAAATGGATTTTTCTATTTATGTGTTGATTTGTGACCAGAACTTTCTATTGTTTCTCTGACTTATTCTTGAACCATGTTTATATCCCATCTAATTAAGATTTTCATTGTATCATTTATTTCTTCAGAGTATAATTTGCTCTACTGTTGTGATGAGGATTGAAGGAATATATTCATCAGGTAATTGTCTCAGACTGTGGAGAGGATATACTTTTTGTACTACATAAAAGAACAGCAAAAACAGTGATAATTAAGATATGTTTACCATTATTAAATTTATCACCAAGAGAACCTTCATTTGTAAAAGATCTATGGCAGAGTGATAGGTAGGGGCTAAACATAGAACTTTCCCCCCAAATACTTCTAGACCAACTTAAAATAATTCTAGGAGAGTCTATTCCCCAAGCTTACCATTCTGTGATGATGTTAGATGCTTTAACTTTATTCAACTCTTCTTGGATGGCCTGTTTAGCTCTTATTTCTGCATCGAGGGCCGACTGCAACTCCAGTCTAGCTGACATGTCCAGTTTTGCAAAACGACGCATTTTCCAGGGCATATCCTATCAAATAATATGACTGGTTTTAGCTCCGTCCTATTTTATCCCTAACATTCCAATTCGGGAGTGCAAATAAATTTGGAAACTACTTAAAGGCACTGACCTTCTCTAATAACACAATAGAGCCGAAAGGCGACTTGTGACAATATATCATTTTTCAATGATTCGGAAATAGGTGTAGATTCACATACAAATGAGTTTATTTTTCGTCATTATTACCAACAATGGCTACCTACTGCAAATTACAGGGAGGCAGTGATGTGCTATGATTTCCCAAACTGGCCAAGACGTGGACTCGTTGATTTCTTGGGAGAAACTTCACAGTGGGCTAAAGCCTAGACAGACCCACCCAAGGTGATCACTCTCCCCGCAAAACCGCTGAGCTTACTGTTGCTCGTGCACCCAGGCTGGAATTTCTTAAAGCTTCCAACTCTTCAGTCATTTTAGAAGCTAAGGCCTGCAGATACCCTCGTGCGTCCTTTTCATCACTGACCCTGGGATACATACGTATATGGACAAAGCACAAAAGTAAAACAAACAAAATCTTCAGTGAGATATAGGTCGTTTTCAAAGCATCCTACAAGAAGTGAAAGTGATAAAAATTTAAACATATGTATATATATATTTTTAAATATAATTTATTGTCAAGTTGGCTAACATACGGTGTATACAGTGTGCTCTTGGTTTTGGGGGTAGATTCCTGTGATTCATCGCTTACATACAACACCCAGTGCTCATCCCAACAAGTGCCCTCCTTGATGCCCATCTTCCATTTTCCCCAATTTAAGCACATTCTTAAATATCTTCTTTCAAAAGGTCTCCCACAGCACTCCTGCCTGTCAACAAGTGGGAAAAGGTTTGTTGAACTGTTCAGTTATCTACAAATTAAAGCTGGTCACATTTAGGAAAGTTCAAATTACTTATATCTGATAAATTGGTAAAATTTCACCCTTGAACTGCAGAAATAATACTTTTAATCTAACATTAATCACACACACACTTACATGATTTCTAAAGAGTATTAAGATTTTTCTTAATACTTTTCCAGTGATCAGACACTCAGATCAATGGAACAGAATAGAGAACCCAGGAATGGACCCACAAACATATGGGCAAGTAATCTTTGACAAAGCAGGAAAGAATATCCAATGGAACAAAGACAGTCTCTTCAGCAAGTGGTGCTGGGAAAACTGGACAGCAACATGCAGAAGAATGAACCTGGACCACTTTCTTACACCAGACACAAAAATAAACTCAAAGTGGATGAAAGACCTCAATGTAAGACAGGAAGCCATCAAAATCCTCGAGGAGAAAGCAGGCAAAAACCTCTTTGATCTTGGCCACAGCAACTTCTTACTCAACACGTCTCCAGAC